CATTGACTCCTTCGAGGTGCAATTATCCGGATGCGTGCTCCCCTTGTGAACTTACTTTGTGCTCCTGCCCTCCAGATCTGATCATTTTTACAACTTCTGAACTCCCATTATGTGCGCAGCTAAAGCTAGCGCAGGGGTTGGCTGACTTCTGTGGTCAGTCCCTGGTGGGAGGACATGACCCATCTCAGAGATGCAGTAGTAGTCTAGATGAAAGGTCTCCTCAAGATTGCTTTCCAGCATGAAACTAGTAAGTAGAGACGTTTTAAAATCACTTTTTTCCAACGGATGAAGTTTTCGTTTGTGCAAAGCTCTGCACGCCGTGTATTGATAGACACTGTGACCCGTAGCAAAGGCTCTTCTGTAGTCTAGATGAACATATTCATGAGAGGCGTTGAGGGAGAAGGACACAGAGGTATAGGAGATGGGGAAGAATACGGGGTGGGGTGGGGTGGGGGAGAGTACGGGGGCCCGGGGACGATGGAGGATGTGGAGTGTACGGGGGAGGGGAGGGGACGACGAAGAGTAGGGAGTCACAAACCGCATACATGTACAATTGTACGTCGACACACAACTCTGCTCGCAAACAACTAGCATTGTCATAATCACACGACGCTGCATATTACAAACTCGCTTATTCAATAATTCACTCACAAGGAGAGGGGAGAAGGAGGCTGATCATACAGCAGATTCATATGCCTGTGGCCCACACACCTGTTGCACAACCACAATACAGACTGGATATGCTACCCATACATACAATAAAAGTTTTCTTGAGACTATCATCAGGGAAAAATTCGTCTCACAATAGAGGCTATACGGAGAAACAAACTACTTATAGGTTATCGGATAGTGGGAAGTATACAAGGTGAGGTGTAAAAAACAAAAACAAACTAAAGTGGGAGAGAAGACGAAAGAAATTAGAAGAAAAGATGTGAGAGTGTTTCGACGGTGTGAGCTACTAAAAAAGGTGAGTGAAATGAAGGCGTGGAAGCAGGTGAATGTGATAGAGTGAGGAACTGTGAGGTGTAGGTGTATGCGAATGAATGCATTCACACACGTATTCATTCGCATACACCTACACCTCACAGTTCCTCACTCTATCACATTCACCTGCTTCCACGCCTTCGAGGTATGTGTTGGTGGAGAGCACCCGCGGCGGTCGATTTGTCCCACCGGAACTAGAGCTGGATTCAACAAAAAGACCAACAACCATGGCTGCAACAACAACACCAGCTTCACATCCAACAACAACACCAGGTTCACATCCAACAACAATAACAACTAATCCACAAAACAAAGCAGCAAATGACAGACCACGGAGATCTACAGCAGATTACAACCGGACCTATGAATTCACGGTAAAAATACAAAGGAAACAATCGGAAAGGACGACGACTGACATGAAGGCAACGGCATTCACGGTTGGCGTGGGTGGTGAAGGTGAGACGCAGGACGATGCAAGTGATGAGGAGAGTCGAACCGCTGTGGATGACGGAGCAGGTTCTGATTCGGACAGTGAGGGAGAAGGTGAGCTGAGTGAGGGTGAGAGTGAGTGTGAGGGTGTGCGCGTGAGTCGAGATTGTGTGCGTCCGTCTCGTAATAAGTCTTCAGTATACAATCATTTGGTTTCTAGTACTGACTGTTGTCGTACTTATTCTGATTCCTGTTTTTCTGTTTTGTGCCGTGCTCGTCATGGTTATCTTTTGCAGTTACAAGTTTTGGAAGCTGTTTGTCAGCGCATTCATAAGCCGAATTTGTGTGTCCAGAAAGATAGTGTTATTACCCTAAAATTGTTCAAATAATGTTCTTTTGTGTAGTGTGGCAACGTTGTTGCCACTTGTGCCTAAATGTGTTTTGTCACCTTCTTGTTTATTATTGTTATTATTATCATTCATTCTCACTTTTTTTGTTTTTGTTGCTGATACACACTTGTCACGCTTAGTTCTTACTTGTATACCCTTGTGTTCTGCACGCTTTTGTGAGAAATCGCACCTCGATATTCCAGTGCTGTCATTGTATCGTGGCACCCTACCTTGATTGCTATATTATTTCCTTTGTTCTCATTTTGTTCTTTAGTACAACGGTGATTCCTGAAGAGTGTTGTACGAAAACTTGTTCGAATCATCTTTTTTTCCATTGCCCTTTTTCTTCTTACATGTATTTTCCTTACCCTTTAGATTGTTTCTTGCATCGTCTCCATCGCTTACATTGTTAATAAAGTAGTCCACATGTCGCTTCAGCTCGTCCTACTTATTGCCATATTAAAATTATTGTCTCCTCGTCGAATTTTTAAATAATAATAATAATAATAATAATTCAAAGGATCAGTCGGGGAAGTGAACTGCCTGAAACGAGAGAGAAAAAAAACGCCAGACCCACCAGGACTCGAACCTGGGACCCTGCTTGTCATGAGCAATGCTCTAACCACTGAGCTATGGGACCAGGCTGAACCTAGAAGGCGCTGACAAGTTTTTCACTCCAAAGGCAGCTCACAACACGTGCCACACATACTGATGGCACTTGGGTCTTTTCCCTCCCAAACTTGTCAGCGCCTTCTAGGTTCAGCCTGGTCCCATAGCTCAGTGGTTAGAGCATTGCTCATGATAAGCAGGGTCCCAGGTTCGAGTCCTGGTGGGTCTGGCGTTTTTTTCTCTTTTCAGGCAGTTCACTTCCCCGACTGATCCTTTGAATTTGAAGTTCTCCCAATCCTTTCCAAATAATAATACTAATAATGGACTCAGATGGAGAGCCAAGGTTTAATTTCTACAAAGAGAAAGACCAAGGAACTACAAGTTACGCTATATTGTCCACTACCACCACCAGCTACTAACTTGTGACAATCAGCTCATGCGATAACATTGCACGACACTGACCGACGGTAGCGACGTTCTACAACTAACTGGCTAACAGCTCTAGCACATCTTGGATGCGCACTCCAACAGCCTTCCAACTTGTCATGTTATTTCTATAACTTAGTTATAGAAATAACATAAGGAGGGGAAGGACTTAGGTGAGCGCCACCAAGATAAGCACGAGCTGAAAGTCTCAGCTGTGAAGGACGTTGGCGGATGTTCATGCATCTCGATGACGATACTGGCAAGACCATTGGACAATACGGTCAAATCACGATTCAGGAACGCAAAGCCACATTCCACACAACTTGTGTGGCTCAAAAGATGCAAAGATCAATAAAAGGGGAAGCTATGCGAACAAGATTCACGAAAAACCGAACGTCTCAGTAAAACAGCACTGTACTTCGACTATGACTTATTTAGATGGACAATAAGCAGCGGTAACAAGCAGCAGTTTCACACGACGATCGCTTCCAAGTTGGAAGGCTGTTGGAGTGCGCATCCAAGATGTGCTAGAGCTATTAGCCAGTTGGTTGTAGAACGTCAGTACCGTCGGTCAGTGTCGTGCAATGTTATCGCATGAGCTGATTGTTTAGTAACTCACTAACTGGTGGTGTTAATGGACAGTATAGCGTAACTTGTAGTTTCTTTGTATTTCTCTTTGTATAAATAATAATAATAATGGGTTTGCTCCCACACTGGAGCTCGCGCTATTCCGCCGGCGACTTGACACTTGCCTGACTCACTACTGCCATCCAGAGAACACGAGAAGTCCATCGAACCTTCGACTCGGCAAACCTGCAAGAAAGCACCATTCCCTGCTCAATACACAGTGTTTCGGGGAATTCACCCCTCATCAGTTGAGCTTGAGTAGGCTGAGGAAGATTGTGCCGGAAGAGCACCACTTGTACTTGTACTTGTACTTGCTCACTGCCAAAACTGGTCACGTGGGTCTCCCCGGGAGAGGGGAGAGAGACTCAAAAGGAATCTTGGAAAGATGACTCAATTGGCCATTGAACCACCCAACGGCCGGCCGACACCCCCTGAAATCCCCAAACTAGGGTGGACTTGAAATGATCCCACTTATGGGCTCACCACACCTCAGTAAGTGGGTGAGGACAAGGTGCAGAAAAAGGATTGACGGCATCAGGGTATCCGTCCCGGGATCCAACTGCAGGTACCCCTGCCCCCAGTGAAGGTTATACTTGGTACTAGTGTGGGTGGCTAAATCAGAGTGGATCGGATATAAGCTTCACTAGCACCATTGATTACACAAGAGTTAATCTAGCCAGAAGCAGTCCATGGTTAACAGGTATGTATACTTCAAACAGAAAGTATATGAACCCTGAAACCAACAAAGGTGGTAGGTACAACAATACACCTTCAAGCAGCCGAGCCCGTTGGCAACAGGCCCAACACTATCTGGCATAAGTGTACCCACCAACCGAACTAGCTGGCACGGGGGGTGCTGTCCAGGCACAAACCAAACCAAACCCATTCTTAAACAAAATATCGCCGAAGTCGCAACCTCTACTTAATAATAATATTATTAATAATTTATACAAAGAGAAAGACCAAGGAACTACAAGGTACGCTATACTGTCCACTAACACCACCAGTTACTAAACAATCAGCTCATGCGATAACACTGCACGACACTGTCCGACGGTACTGACGTTCTACAACTAACTGGCTAACAGCTCTAGCACATCTTGGATGCACACTCCAACAGCCTTCCAACGTGTTAGGTGTTAGCGGACAGTATAGCGTAACTTGTAGTTCCTTGGTCTTTCTCTTTGTATAAATTAAACCTTGGCTCTCCATCTGAGTCCAATAATGATAATAATAATAATAATAATGTAAGGAGAAAATTGGAGGCGTATCCAATTTCGAAAGAAAAGGTGTCAGGACCGACGCATCCACACAGTCAAGTAAGCCAATTTTGTAACCGGAAGTTTTCGTTCCCTTCTCATCATGGGTAAGTACAGGGAATAATGGAAAATATCAAAATACAGCAACTTATAGAGCTACAGCAAAAGCATAGATCGAAAACCTCACGCTATACGCGTGGGAAAAAATAAAATTCAGCAGAACTTGTCAAAACCAGGGTGAAGGTGAAGAAATGACTAAAACACAATGAAAACATCAGCGAGGAGAACCATTCCTTACACTTTCTCGAGGATTAGCGCCAAACGACTGAAGTGACAACACATTTTCCTTCTGAACACATAGTTCAGGGGACAACTTACGAATATATAACGCTTCCAAAACAGACAAATGTTATACAGATCTGCCACGGGCCAAAACTGAGAAAACATCATCTCTGTACAACTCACGACAACTATCACTAACCAACAGATGACTCTTGATAGCCAATAACTGATTTTTAGAATGTCGCATCTTTTTCGTCACCTCCAATGTCGCAGCTCTTGACCCGTCGGCAAGGAAAAGAGGTGCAGAGCTGGTGAAACTACACAGAAGAAGACAATGCCAGGGACACCTACTCGAAGAGTCACTCGCAGCCAGGTTCGGATGGGTACTGGAGGAGACGAGCAGGTGGCAATACTGGAAGTGACAACGAACGTAAGTGGGAGAAGGCGTGGAAGACCACCACGAAAGCCATTGATCAAGACAACGGAAGAATCAGACACCGGAAGAGTTACCAGGCGGTGTGTTGGAAGGGACGAGTCAGGACCTGCGGCATCGGAAGTGACTTCAAGGCGACTGCCCAGTGGAAAAGACGGGTCAAGAGCTGCGACAAAAAAGGCGCAAAAAGAGTTACAAATAATAATTGTACATAACTCCTAGATCCTATGCCTAGGCTCTGGCTTGGCCGACGTCAAGACAGTAAATCTACATACATAACTGTACCCACACCAGCCATACATGTACACTGCGCTAATATCACACTGCTATATGTAGTCTAGAATAGCCTCCTGCCTACAACATCCACACACACATTCAAAATGATTGCTCACCACCTCCTGCCCACACCAGCCACACATTCTGCGCTAACATTGCACTGCTAGTCCCTGCCTTCAACAACCACACACTCTGCACGCAGCCTCCTGCCTAAGATAACACCGCTACTACGCTAGCCCCCACATTCTCACAGTTTTTTCATACCTTCTCCCGGGATAATAATATTATGATATACTGGCATGGTCGGCACCCAACCTTCATGTTGCCTGATTATTGCGAGAGCATGAAACTTCAAGCCGCAGCAAACTATCAGTAGCCTTGATTGTCCTTGTTCTTCTGTACAGGACTGACTGTCTGGAGTCGTGTATTGAGTCTGTGTTGAGTAGGTTCTCGCGTGTTCTGCTTCGTGGAAGCGCTATAAGTATCTAGCTTCCTGGAAATGTGATGCCAGGCTTTGTGCAAAAGCAGGCCGCTACTGCACTACATGTAAATGATGTAGGGACTAACTAGTCGTAGTAGTCCTTCCTACATGCTTCCATGACACCTGCCTGCTGGCCTCAGGCGCTTTGTCACGGTAACCAGGTAACGAACTTAGACTAGCAAGCACATAATTATGTAAGAGCGAGCACAAAGTCAGTCGTTGCTCTGCATTGGGGTGTCGCAGAAACGAAAAATAATGAGAACCTGGCTCTCCGCCTCCCTTCCCCTTTTCGCATTTCCCTTGCCTATCCCTTGTTTTTGCTGTTTTCGTCGTACCTTTATTCCAAAGTCGCATCACTAACAGGCGTCTATGCTTCCTGAGATTTATACTGCTAGCAGCATTATTATGAGGAAAAAGGAATGGAACCATTGTTGAGTAGCAGAGGATGCTATGGTGATACATTTACGGAAATTACGTCAAAGTACTGTAAGTCTGGCCTTACACTTCGAGCAGACCAGAGTACGTGGAAGACATAGCGATGGGTGAACCTGAAAGCCACGGAAGTAAGTCAGTTGCTACTGGATGCAGGCTAGTGGAAGTGATGAACGAATAATGAATAAACATTTTAACTCTCTGCAGCACATGCTACTGTTAATCAGATCTCTATCTTTCACTGCTCACAAGTGCTAAAATTGGTGCAAAATGGAGAGTAAAAGAGAAGGTGCAGGCACCACAGTCAGGGGAGAGGAGGGGGGGGGGGGGGAGGGGGCGAGCACAACAGACTAAATATCACCTGTAGTACTAGGATAGAGTTTGTCCCCAAATGTTTCCACATGAACAAGTTGCTGCTGCTACCAAACTTCAGTATCATCACGTGATGCAGCACCTAAGTTAGTGGCAATAGTGAGCCTGTTCTGGCACTCCCTGGCTGTGTAGCCAGCGCCTCCTACATTACCATCCATTTTACACAAATTGTATCAACTTTGAGCAACACCATGCCCAGTGGGCCAGCAAATGCATTTCACAAACTAGCACCGATCCCCCTCCGCCTAAGTTCTCACCTACCTGTTCACGCTTAGTAACATGCGGCTTTGGCCTAGCGCCATCCTGGACTATGTTACCGTATAAAAGGGGGTACTGCAGGCATTTCCTGTATCATTTTAGTCACCTTGTGATTGCCAGCTGGGCATGAAATTCCTAGTTGTGATGATGTCGTGTCATCCTTCATTGCAAGGACCTATGTGATTTTTGTTATATCTGATAATAGTGATACGGTAAGTGTTGCCTAAATACCCGCTAGTTGGCACCGTTTTAATGTGTGCTCCAGTTCTCTATGTGCATGGTGAATTTGTTCTGAAAATATTCTTATCCTGGTATTAACCTCTCGCAAAAGATGTGCATGATGAATGCGCAACTTGCTTCATTTATTGTGTTGAATCCTGTTATTGGTGATCTCTCCGTTCCTTGTAGAGACCACCGGTGCGGTCTGGTGGTCTGCCAGCACGGTCGCAAGCATCACCTGAATCCCAGGAGCAACCCCAGGAGCAGCCACAGCTAGCACACCAGCAACACCATCAGCAGCAACAGCCTTCGTGGACAAGCATGGACTGCAGCAAAGCACCAGTGAGTTTTGTAGAAAGAAGGACCCACGGGATGGGTGTGTGTGATCTCCGGTAGCCTAAGGGCCCGGTAACACATGCACTTCACTTCACTTCACTTCGGCATCAAGGTTTTGCGACAGCGAGCCTGGTGTCGCTCCAGCGAAACCACGTGTGTATGGTCACACATACAAATAGGGCAAACTCCTACTTTGGCGGAAAATGAGAGTAAAGTGGATTGTGGTGCATACGGCACGGAGAATAGACAAGGTCAATGACTATCTTGCACGCATTTTTGTTGCATGGACATACGCATACAAATTTCTTGTATCAAGTCTATATACAGCAGACCGTGGTCTTTTCCGCTGAAGCGAAACCGCAGAAGCGACAGTTTCGCTCCGAAAATTTTGGAGGAAGCGGATTGGAGTTTCCGCTGAAGCGGAAGTTCCGCTTTTCGCTGTTACCATGGTATTTTTCGCTCCTGTGATGTCGCTTCAGGAGATCCGCTACTTTCGAGTGCATGTGTAACCGGGTCCTAATTGGTAAGGCACTGTCCTGGAAAGAGAGGGGTGCTGGGTTCGAATCCTGCTCGTGGATCCTTCTTTTGCAACAGTTTGAACAGTCCAATGCTGGAGCAAGATTGTTTGTTGAACTGACAAGGACTCATCTAGACTGTAGCTTAAGGAATTTCCCGGAACGTGTATGACCCTTGAGTCTCTTTTGATATTAGGGTACCTGAACTCAAACACAATATTCACCAAATTTTCGGGCATGGCGGATTATCAGGGTGAACACAGTTTTTGACTTCAGTATAACTAGCCATGCTTCTTCCAGAAATATTACTGTGGATGACTTTTCATTGCTTGATTTTTTAATGTGAATACTATCAAGGTCGAAAGAGAACCGAACCGAACGTTTTCGTTCCCTTCTCATCATGGGTAAGTACAGGGAATAATGGAAAATGTCAAAATACAGCAACTTATAGAGCTACAGCAAAAGCATAGATCGAAAACCTCACGCTATACGCGTGGGAAAAAATAAAATTCAGCAGAACTTGTCAAAACCAGGGTGAAGGTGAAGAAATGACTAAAACACAATGAAAACATCAGCGAGGAGAACCATTCCTTACACTTTCTCGAGGTTTAGCGCCAAACGACTGAAGTGACAACACATTTTCCTTCTGAACACATAGTTCAGGGGACAACTTACGAATATATAACGCTTCCAAAACAGACAAATGTTATACAGATCTGCCACGGGCCAAAACTGAGAAAACATCATCTCTGTACAACTCACGACAACTATCACTAACCAACAGATGACTCTTGATAGCCAATAACTGATTTTTAGAATGTCGCATCTTTTTCGTCACCTCCAATGTCGCAGCTCTTGACCCGTCGGCAAGGAAAAGAGGTGCAGAGCTGGTGAAACTACACAGAAGAAGACAATGCCAGGGACACCTGCTCGAAGAGTCACTCGCAGCCAGGTTCGGATGCGTACTGGAGGAGACGAGCAGGTGGCAATACTGGAAGTGACAACGAACGTAAGTGGGAGAAGGCGTGGAAGACCACCACGAAAGCCATTGATCAAGACAACGGAAGAATCAGACACCGGAAGAGTTACCAGGCGGTGTGTTGGAAGGGACGAGTCAGGACCTGCGGCATCGGAAGTGACTTCAAGGCGACTGCCCAGTGGAAAAGACGGGTCAAGAGCTGCGACAAAAAAGGCGCAAAAAGAGTTACAAATAATAATTGTACATAACTCCTAGATCCTATGCCTAGGCTCTGGCTTAGCCGACGTCAAGACAGTAAATCTACATACAGAACTGTGCCCACACCAGCCATACATGTACACTGTGCTAATATCACACTGCTATAATTATGTAGTCTAGAATAGCCTCCTGCCTACAACATCCACACACACATTCAAAATGATTGCTCACCACCTCCTGCCCACACCAGCCACACATTCTGCGCTAACATTGCACTGGTAGCCCCTGCCTTCAACAACCACACACTCTGCACACAGCCTCCTGCCTAAGATAACACCGCTACTACGCTAGCCCCCACATTCTCACAGTTTTTTCATACCTTCTCCCGGGATAATAATATTATGATATACTGGCATGGTCGGCACCCAACCTTCATGTTGCCTGATGATTGCGAGAGCATGAAACTTCAAGTCGCAGCAAACTAGCCTTGAATGATTGTCCTTGTTCTTCTGTACAGGACTGACTGTCTGGAGTCGTGTACTGAGTCTGTGTTGAGTAGGTTCTCGCGTTTTCTGCTTCGTGGAAGCGCTATAAGTATCTTGCTTCCTGGAAATGTGATGCCAGGCTTTGTGCAAAAGCAGGCCGCTACTGCACTACATATAGGGACTAACTAGTCGTACGCGTAGTAGTCCTTCCTACATGCTTCCATGACACCTGCCTGGCCTCAGGCGCTTTGTCACGGTAACCAGGTAACGAACTTAGACTAGCAAGCACATAATTATGTAAGAGCGAGCACAAAGTCAGTATTTGCTCTGCATTGGGGCGTCGCAGAAACGAAAAATAATGAGAACCTGGCTCTCCGCCTCCCTTCCCCTTTTCGCATTTCCCTTGCCCATCCCTTGTTTTTGCTGTTTTAGTCGTACCTTTATTCCAAAGTCGCATCACTAACAGGCGTCTATGCTTCCTGAGATTTATACTGCTAGCAGCATTACTATCCTCTTTTGCCGGGATTGGGGACAAACTCTATCCTAGTACTGCAGGTGATATTTAGTCTGTTGTGCTCGCACCCTTCCCCCCCCCCCCCTCTCCCCTGACTGTGGTACCTGCACCCTCTCTTTTACTCTCCATTTTGCACCAATTTTATCACTTGTGAGCAGTGAAAGATAGAGATCTGATTTACAGTAGCATGTGCTGCAGAGAGTTAAAATGTTTATTCATTATTCGTTCATCACTTTGACTAGCCTGCATCCAGTAGCAACTGACTTACTTCCGTGGCTTTCAGGTTCACCCATCGCTATGTCTTCCACGTACTCTGGTCTGCTCGAAGTGTAAGGCCAGACTTACAGTACTTTGACGTAATTTCCGTAAATGTATCACCATAGCATCCTCTGCTACTCAACAATCGTTCCATTCCTTTTTCCTCATAATAATGTTTCCACATGAACAAGTTGCTGCTGCTACCAAACTTCAGTATCATCACGTGATGCAGAACCTAAGTTAGTGGCAATAGTGAGCCTGTTCTGGCACTCCCTGGCTGTGTAGCCAGCGCCTCCTACATTACCATCCATTTTACACAAATTGTATCACCTTTGAGCAACACCATGCCCAGTGGGCCAGCAAATGCATTTCACAAACTAGCACCGATCCGCCTCAGTTCTCACTTACCTGTTCACGCTAAGTAACATGCGGCTTAGGCCTAGCGGCATCCTGGACTATGTTACCGTATAAAAGGGGGTACTGCAGGCATTTCCTGTATCATTTTAGTCACCTTGTGATTGCCAGCTGGACATGAAATTTCTAGTTGTAATGATGTCGTGTTATCCTTCATTGCAAGGACCTATGTGATTTTTGTTATATCTGATAATAGTGATACGGTAAGTGTTGCCTAAATACCCGCTAGTTGGCACCGTTTTAATATGTGCTCCAATTCTCTATGTGCATGGTGAATTTGTTCTGAAAATATTCTTATCCTGTTATTAACCTCTCGCAAAAGATGTGCATGATGAATGCGCAACTTGCTTCATTTATTGTGTTGAATCCTGTTATTGGTGATCTCTCCGTTCCTTGTAGAGACCACCGGTGCGGTCTGGTGGTCTGCCAGCACGGTCGCAAGCATCACCTGAATCCCGGGAGCAACCCCAGGAGCAGCCACAGCTAGCACACCAGCAACACCATCAGCAGCAACAGCAGCAACAGCCTTCGTGGACAAGCATGAACCGCAGCAAAGCACTAGTGAGTTTTGTAGAAAGAAGGACCCACGGGATGGGTGTGTGTGATCTCCGGTAGCCTAAGGGCCCGGTAACACATGCACTGGGGTTCGCTTCGGCATCAAGGTTTTGCGACAGCGAGCCTGGTGTCGCTCCAACGAAACCACGTGTGTATGGTCACACATACAAACAGGGCAAACTCCTACTTTGGCGGAAAATGAGAGTAAAGTGGATTGTGGTGCATACGGCACGGAGAATAGACAAGGTCAATGACTATCTTGCACGCATTTTTGTTGCATGGACATACGCATACAAATTTCTCGTATCAAGTCCATATACAGCAGACCGTGGTGTTTTCCGCTGAAGCGAAACCGCAGAAGCGACAGTCTCGCTTCGAAAATTTTGGAGGAAGCGGATTGGAGTTTCCGCTGAAGCGGAAGTTCCGCTTTTCGCTGTTACCATGGTATTTTTCGCTCCCGTGATGTCGCTTCAGCGGATCCGCTACTTTCGAGTGCATGTGTAACCGGGTCCTAATTGGTAGGGCACTGTTCTGGAAAGAGAGGAATGCTGGGTTCGAATCCTGGTCGTGGATCCTTCTCTTGCAACACTTTCAACAATCCAATGCTGGAGCAAGATTGTTTGTTGAACTGACAAGGACTCGTCTAGACTGTAGCTTAAGGAATTTCCCGGAACGTGTATGACCCTTGAGTCTCTTTTGATATTAGAGTACTTGAACTCAAACACAATATTCACCAAATTTTCGGGCATGGCGGAATATCAGGGTGAACACAGTTTTTGACTTCAGTATAACTAGCCATGCTTCTACCAGAAATATTACTGTGGATGACCTTTCATTGCTTGATTTTTTAAAGTGAATACTATCAAGGTCGAAAGAGATTCAAGGGGTACACGTTCAGGGAAATTCCCTAAGCTACACTCTAGATGAGTCCTTGTCAGTTCAACAAACAACTTTGATCCAGCATTGGATTGTTCAAACTATTGCAAAAGAGGGATCCACAAACGGGATTCGAACCCAGCATCCCTGTCTCGACAGGACAGTGCCCTACCGAATAGGTGCTATGTGCATATGACCAGATCTTGCATTGATTCTGTCTCAGTTAGCATTAGAGAACTTGGATGGATGTGCTGGTTGGATTGAGCAGAATCTGTAGATATCATTATTATCCGATGCAGACTTTAGCTAGGCATGTTGGCGTGTTTGAAATACTGGGCTACAGTAGCAGCACTCTTATGCAAGTGAAAATCATTTCCCCTTTCGGGGTTTCTGAATCACTGTGCTCTTTTGCCGTGTCAGTGACGAGGGCTGGCAATGTATTCTGCAATTTCTTCGTGATGTTCCTGATAATGTGCTCTCCTCGAAACAGACGCATGGATCCACTGCATTCTCAATGGCAATGATGCAGCAACAACAGCAGCAGCCGCAACAACAGCAGCAGCAGCCGCAACAACAGCAGCAGCAACAACAGCAGCAGCAGGCGCAACAGCAGCAGCAGGCGCAACAACAGCAGCAGCAGGCGCGACTGCAGCAGCAGGTGCGACTGCAGCAGCAGGCGCGACTGCAGCAGCAGGCGCGACTGCAGCAGCAGGCGCGACTGCAGCAGCAGGCGCGACTGCAGCAGCAGGCGCGACTGCAGCAGCAGGCGCGACTGCAGCAGCAGGCGCGACTGCAGCAGCAGGTGCAACTGCAGCAGCAGGCGCAACTGCAGCAGCAGGCGCAACTACAGCAGCAGCATCCAAAACAACATCAGCAGCCACAACATCAGAAGCTGCAGCACCCTCCCTTACCGCCACCAGGGATTGGCAGCAATCTATACCGGTCACAATATGGTAACACTTCAAGGGCATCCTACCCCAGTGGACCCAGTGGCGCGGAAGTATACGCTGATACGAGATCGCCGTACCATCGCCCTCGCCACACACCGGTGCAGCAAGGTCACACATCATACTCTGGATCTTCGGTGAAGGCAATGTCGGGACACCAGAGCAGAGTGAGTAAACAGACAGACACACACGCACACACATACACACACACACACATGCACACACACACACACACACACACATGCACACACACACACACACACACACACACACACACACAAATACACACACACACATACACACACACACACACAAAACACACACACACAATACAGTATACAGCATGGCATATGACCCTTGAGTCTCTTTGTGACTTTAATTTACCTCAACTCAAACTAGTCGGGGAGCCGAAGTCTGTAGGATGATTTTTATTTTCGGGGTATGCCACTTCAGAGGGAGGACTTGAAACTTCGCACAGAGGTAGGTAAGGATCTCTAGAGGACGATTTCAGAACTTGGCCGTCCCGAAGCTGTGCACCAACGCCGGTGCGAGGAGGTTTGTTCACTCGTCAACACTATTCCGTTGACGTGATTTCACCATTTTTGCGCCGTTCAGCGCTTGAAAATGGGGGAAATCAGCAGGTTTCGCTGACGTAACCAGACGTTTTCATGCGAATGACTCAACTTTGCTAGATTTCCAAGAGAAACACAAAGAAACACGAAGCGAAGCGTTAAGCGTAAAGTCACTCCGTCGATGAATTTGTGTCGTTGTGAGTTGTGAAGCAATATAGCTGGTTCAAGTTCGTTGGAGGAGGACATGACTGGTGTTCCTGAAATTGTCGGGCACAGCGGCTAGATGACTTGCCATTTGACCCTGATGGTGACAGGCAGGTCCCGTAGAAACTGTCTTGTCTCAATCGAGGTGACTCCGGATTGTTTTTACCAATAGTGTTTTGTAGATTGATCATCACTACAAACGATTTCATGCTAGTCAATGAGCGGATGGACAGCGTGTGTTAAAGGTGGTAAGGTATATACCATGGCAGCTGCCTTGAACGGAATATTTGATTATAGTACCAGTGAACGTAGAAATGCAGGACTTATTTTGAATAACGTCTCTTTGAATCATTGTTATGTAAAAGTTAGTTCCGTATGCTGCACAATGACATGCTTACGTGGAAGCATTGACATTGTAGAAGATGCTATATTTCTCGCGCAACAAATTTTTTCTCTTGCGAATATGGCATCTGATGTTTGCTCTTTTTGTTGCTGTTCTGTTTGCCTGACTTCTTCCGTCAGTTTTTTGTGTCTCACCAGTGTCCCCACCCTCCCACCGTTCATGTCTGCCCATCTTCATCCCTTTCTTTCTTGGCTGTAGATATGTTGTGCCTGTTTTTATGCTGCCATGTTGCCACTTGTGGTTATACACCCGGTTTTTCCCTCATTCATGCGTCCGTCGGCGTGAGAGGTTTTTCCCGGCTGGCTCGGTCCGGAGAAATTAATCTGACGGTCCCAAGTGGTGTTTGTCCTGGCCTATTTATGTTATTAGAATGTACTCATTCTTTCCTCCTGGGGTCTGTCCCCCCTGTTGTTGCTCCTAGTTTTCTTCTGCATTCCGGTTCATATCTGGCTGCGGCCTACTACCCTCACTCTGTGTGCTCCTGCCTCTGTTGTCTGGGTCCATGTCGTTATGTCGGTGTACGTGGAGCGAGAACATGGGATGATTATTTCCCTACTTCATTCAGCTTCCCACGGAAGCGGAAAGGTGGTTCTTGACCAGGAAATTGTACGACCCCTTGTTCTTGACCTGCCCTGTACGCAAACCCGTCGATTTTTTTCATTGTGATATTCCTGATGATGTGCTCTACTTGAAGCAGACACGTGGATCCACTGCATCCCGGATACCAGTGGTGCCTCAACAACAGCAGCAGCCCCAACAAGAGCAACAGCCGCAACAACCTCCACCACCGCCGGCAACGCCTGGCAGCAGTCTCTACAAGTCCCAGTATCGTAACACGTCAACGGCACCCTCCCACAGTGGACCGAGTGGCGCAGCAGTATACGCTGATACGAAATCGACTTACCATCGCCCTGGCAACAGACCGGTGCAGCAAGGTCACACTTCTTACACCGGATCTTCGGTGAAGGCACACACACTGTCGGCACACCAGAGCAGTGTGAGTAAACAGACACAGACGGACTCACAAACACACACGCACGCACGCGCACGCGGGCACACACACACATAGACCAGGCACGTGCGCCGGTGCCTTTCAAGGGGGGTTCGGTTCAAAAAATGAAGCAAAATCCTGCATTTTGAGCGAAAAAGGGGGGATTCCGGGCACCCAGGAACCCATACGGGGCACGCGCCTGTAGACATAACATGCATCTCCCAGGTGGTATTCCCTGGTTACTCATCATCTTTTCTTCCCTTTTTTTTATTTCTTTGATTTTGACTGCTGGTCTTCTGTACAGACCTTTGGTGATGACATGCTACCGGGAATGGGTGCCACTGGCACTCTCTACTCCGGCGACACAGCACAGTCTTATCCGGGCAGCACAGGAAGTAAGGTAGTTTGATGTATGCTACTGTTTTCCGGGGTTGTGGTGGGATGTAATTTTGACACGGCGAATCCGGACATAGGAATGCTGCTGGCATGCTGGTGTGCGCAAGCTGACTGTCTGGAAATTGTGAAATTACATTACCAAGTGCAAGTACTGGTGGTGCTTCTCTTGTGTTTACCGCAGCGGCTCAGATAGGAGCAGCTGATCTATCGGCAACAGCAGATACAGGGCTGCCATCGCAAGCATCGGTGAGTGAATTAGAGTCGATGTGCGACCGTGAAACGAACGTCTGAAATGTGTACCTTGGGATACCTCACCTCAAACACTAAAAAATGCGGTCTCTTTGCTGCATACGCAAACTAACAGTTATTCACCAAATTTTCGGGCATGGCTGATCTTCAGGGTGAAAACGGTTTTGACTTTAATAGTATTACCAGCGATGCTACTCGGGAGAATGAAGTTGAAGACACCACTGCAGCTGTACCTATGGTTGATAAATATGGTGATAAAGACAAACCTGGCAATATGGTGATAAAGACACACCTAGCAATTTGGTGATAAAGACACACCTGGCAATATGGCGGTAAAGACACACCTGGCAATATGGTGATAAAGACACACCTGGCAATATGGTGATAAAGACACACCTGGCAATATTGTGATAAAGACACACCTAGCAATATGGTGATAAAGACACAGTTGGCAATATGGTGATAAAAAAACACGTGGCAATATGGTGATAAAGACACACCTAGCAATATGGTGATAAAGACACACCTGGCAATATGGTGATAAAAAAACACGTGGCAATATGGTGATAAAGACACACCTAGCAATATTGTGGTAAAGACACACCTAGCAATATGGTGATAAAGACCCACCTAGCAATATGGTGATAAAGACCCACCTGGCAATATGGCGGTAAAGACACACCTGGCAATATGAAGGTAAAGACACACCTGGCAATATGGTGGTAAAGACACACCTCGCAATATGGTGGTAAAAACATACCTGGCAATATGGCGGTAAAGACACACCTGGCAATATGGTGGTAAAGACACACCTGGCAATATAGTGGTAAAGACACACCTGGCAATATGGCGGTAAACACACGCCTGCACAAACATGCTCTCTAAGCTGCAAAGTTCTGGCAGAGAGCTCTCCTGCTCACCACCACCACCATCAGTTCGCGCCTGGCGCCTAGTCGATGCATGGTTGGCTGTATCCAACATAGCAGGCTGGTACATCAAGTAGCGCATGGCACATAGAAAATGACACAGCACCGACAAAGCTCGATTGTGAGGTACGTTTCGTCCCCGCTGGACTCATCAGGCCATCTTCTTCTTGGATGTCTGCATACGGAGCTTGACTCGGGAGAATGAAGTTGAAGACACCACTGCACCTGTACTTATGGTTGATGAATATGGAAATAGGAATCTATATCCACACAAGCTCTACATAATAGATACTCTTAACTGTGAAAAATATTCTTTCTATCAAATAATGCAACTCCTACAAATGTTCTGGCTGGATTGAGCAGAATTTGTAGATGTTTGCCAATGGTGACTTTGGCTAGGCATGTTTGCGTGTTTGGAATACTGGGCTACAGTAGCAGCACTCTTGTGCAAGTGAAAATCATTTCCCTTTTCGGGGTTTCTGAATCACTGTGCTCTTTTGCCGGGTCATTGACGAGGGCTGGCAATGTATTCTGTAATTTCTTCGTGATATTCCTGATGATGTGCTCTCCTTGAAGTGGACACATGGATCCACTGCATTCTCGATGGCAATGACGCAGCAACAACAGCAGCAGCCGCAACAACAGCAGCAGCGGCAACAACAGCAGCAACCGCAACGACCTCCCCTACCAGCAGCAAAGACTGGCAGCAGTCTACACCAGTCACAGTATGGTAACACGCCAACGGCATCCTCCCTCAGTGGACCGAGTGGCACAACAGTATACAGTCGTCCCTCTCTAATCCGGCACTTGTTTATCCGCAACCCTTGCCAACCGGCGCACTTTCTGACGAAACCGATTTTTTTCGTTCAATTCCTACATCTTAATCCGGCACTTGAATTCCGCCTCCGGCAGTGACTTTTTGAAACGCATCGCTCAAACTGCACGTAGTTTGGTTTCATAATCCGGCAGGCGTGAATCGCGTACCGTACAGGTGCACTCCTTGCCAGGCCAGGCTAGCGCTAGGCTTGTCCAGGAGACAACGGCAGTCAACCATACTTTCTTATTTTAGCAAGGAGTAGTGTCCTGCCAATTTTCAGCGGTGTGTGTGTGTGTGCGTGTATGTGCAAGAGTACATGTGAACATGTTCTCTGTTTTACTTTATCACTTTATCACTGTGTATATTCCCGGAGAACAATTGAGAATATAAAGCCGTGCACCAAATACTTGGGTCGACACGGAAAAACCCTGCGTTTTGACATACATATGATACATGCATGCAATTGGGTAGGGCCGGGTCAGAGGGCAGGATTTCTTAATCCAGCACCCTCGTTAATCCAGCAGAAAACGCCGTAGCAAAAGGTGCCGGATTAGAGAGGGACGGCTGTACGCTTATACGGGCTCTCCTTACTATAGTCCTGGCAACAAACTGTTGCAGCATGGTCACACTTCTTACTCTGGATCTTCGGTGAAGGCACTCTCGGGACACCAGAGCAGTGTGAGTGAACAGACACAGACAGACAAACACACACACATACACACATACAGACACGACATGCATGCACTCATACACACACACATATACACACATATATGAGTAAAAATATTTATAATGTAGAAAGGAAAAATACATTATGGATACGAGTTAAGAGTAACTCTCCATCACTGTAACATGATACTTTATACAGTCAGAAAGTGCAATAACTAGGCACCAAACTGACAGAGTACTGAGACATTCGACGTCCTGACACCTAGCTTTAACACATCTCCGTAGCGCTAATCGACAGCCTTCCAACTTGGAAGGTTCAAGGTTACGGAAAGACCAAAGAGGGGAAGGCAAGCTCAACGAAAACGAGCAAAAGCTACAGTCCCAACGGAACAAAGAATGTCGATTGTTACTGGACGATGACGAGACCAGTACGATATTTGACAAAGCGGTCTACCTACAATTCGAAGCAGCAAAGCAGCACACCACCCAACTTGGGTGGGTCGTAAATATCAAAGATAAGCGTCCGCGTGGCTTCTTGATGTCAGAGGTGTCAGTGGCTAACATCAGCGCCTGGTATGATGGAGAGTTTGGGCCTTGTCGGACAACGTGGCCAAACCATAGAAGTCGACGTTCTCTGCAAATAGAGGTAATAGGGATGATATTGGTTTGGTATTACAGGTGATTATTGGTGATGTGGTGAGGATGGTGAATATTAATGAGACATTTCAGCTTTTTCCTATGCCATATATCAAATTTTGAGGAAAGGGCTTTGGACAATGTCCAAAGGGCACAATTATATAACAGAGTGGGCATGATTAGACAATTTATTCCTAGAAGTACCAAAATTTCAACTACCCTAGAATTACGGAGGCATCAGATGACTCCACTGGACTTAAACATACCTGCTTGGAATTATTATCGGCAATATGACTGTGTAGAAACAGAAATCCTTGGGGGTACCTTTTAAAAGGAAGAACCAATGACAGGTGCACTATCTTGGAGACCAGCAGCTGGCATTACGCGTAGCGAAAGGGCAACCTCTCGTCAGTTTACGGAAAAAAGAGCATTTGCTTGCCATTCTCATCCTGCAAACTCTACATTTCAGTCCTTTACCCCGGAAATGGCTGCTGGGCCAATTTGCTGGATTTTTCTCAGCCAGGTTGGTCGTTCTTTGACCGCTGTGATAAATACATTTACGAGCGAAAGGAGAACGTGGTATCGCGACTCATAGCAAAGGATTCGGGTCAATAAATGCAAATAATGCATCTGCCCCATCTTCAAAATTGTGAATATCTCGGAAACGCCCGCATACTTCGGAAGCAACAACCGGTTACGCGCGTTCGCGCTTGCTTGATGCAACACATTTTCCACTACCTACCAACTTTGCCAGAGAACCCAGCTTCATGAAGGAAATCCTGCACGAGTTTTGGAGATTGATGTTCTGTTATGTGTATGGCTCCATAGCTTTATCACCACCAATATCCGCTTACTCCCTCGACTCCGGTCCCGTATCAGACTGATCGAGAAGCCGGAGCAATTAGTTTTCATTCATCTTCATCTGGAGCATATAACTATGTGTCTCTGTGTTCGATCACTTCTAATTGCTCGAGCACAATGCCCCAGGCACTCTCCTCGCATTCATCCCCAACCTCCGGGCTAAAAAAATTCAAAATCAAATGAAATGCTTCATCGGCAGCGACACTGCGCCTACTGAACATGGCTTCCGCCAGACCATTGTAAACTCAAAGGACGTTCCTGGCTAGAATATTATAACTGCCCTGGCACTTTATATCGTACTATGCTGCAGATGACATAGTGAATCAATTTCCAAACTTAGGACAAACAAATTTGTCTGTTTCGGCAAGATTCGGGATTACAATATTGATCATAACGACACGTGAAATGTGCATATTAGCATGTCCATATGTACAAATCACCACCTTCATGGTCCCCAATCTCCTTGCTCCCAAATGTATTCCTCTTCACGTTATTCACGTGTGGTTCTAAGCCATATTCGCCCTTTTATTGATGCCTATGGTATGTGGAGTCATATGATGCCGCGCGGTACTTCTAAGTAGCACCCCCTGGCATTTAGGAACGGTACTAAATTTTTGAAAACACAACCCACTGCCATTAACAAAATACAAAAATAAATAAAAGTCACAAAATTTGGGGAGATTCTAAGCCCCCTTCTAACAGCAATCCCATTTTGAAATTCGCAAATGCATCATATGATGCCTCCGGTACTTCTAGGGTTAAAAACATGCAGAAACGGGACACAAGGGAATGTCTCTTCCAAGCGATGGATGAGAAGGCACGGTTGGCTACACTAATTCTCTGTGATACGTCTTCTGCTGTTCCAAGTCTTGACCCAAGGAGTTTGATGCATTTCCAGTTGTTGTCTTTTGTCGTTTCAAAATACTCGACGTTGAAACGGAGGTTGTATTCAGCAAAACTGGATTCGCACGAGTTGACGATAGTTAGTAAAGTTGTGGAGTTGGCATTGGCAGGACCAAAATATCAAGATGATCTGGTTTATATCGCCATCATTTTTTCTGTTTTTCTTCTTGTTTTTTTTTGCTGTTTTACAGCTGGTCTTCTCACGGTGCAGATGTTTGGTGACGACATGCCATCTGGAATGGGTGCCACTGGCACTTCCTACTCCGGCAACACAGAGCAGTCTTATCCGGGCGGCACAGGAAGTAAGGCAGTTTGATGTATGCTCCTGTTGTCCACGTTTGTTATATGGTGGGATATGATTTTGAGGCGGCGAATCCGGACGCAGGAATGCTGCTGGCATGCTGGTGTGCACAAGCTGACTGTCTGGAAATTGTGAAATCACATTACCAGTATAAGTACTGGTGGTGGTTCTCTTGTGTTGACCGCAGTGGCTCAGATGGGAGCAGCTAATCTATCGGCGACAGCAGATGCAGGCCTGCCATCGCAAGCATCGGTGAGTGAATTCGTGTCAAAGTGAGACTCTGCATCACACATCTGAAATGTGTCCAGGTTACGAAATGTTTTTAAAAAACTGTGATCCATCCTCACTGTATATTCGGGATTTTCCGTTGCTTTTTACAGGCTTCCAGAAGTACGGGGTTCGGCGATACTCCGCTGGACCTTAACGACAACAGCGCTACAGCAGAAAGTGGAGTAGCATCACAGGTAAACTGAATGTATACAGTTTCTAGGTGTTTGTCCTAGATATGGGTTTGTGAATATGCATCAGGGTTCTTTTTAACTTCCTTCTCGTCGTGGCATCTTGTGTATAGGATATTGACCAAGACGAGATCTATATGGGACATATAGGGTGAGTCGGTCTTTTACTCAGCGGACCTCGGTCTTTTACTCGACCGAGGTCCGCCGAGGTCTTTTCCGAGATTGCCTTAGTGTGTTTGATGATTTTCTGTTTTGTGCCGTGCAAGATTGTTTTAAAACAGTTGAAGGTTCTGGAAGCTGTATACATTCATTTGCAAAATCCTGTTCTATAAAATATAAAGAAGCATGTAGTCTCGTTCAAGTTGTCCTCGTAGCTTGCTATCAGATGTGAAAATATTGTTATTTTCCACTGTATCACCCAATGCTTTGTGTTTGCACTCAGTTAGTATACTTTTTAACACTGTGTCTGACTGCTGTTATGTAATGCTTTAACACTTCCTTTGGTCACACTTTTAATTTTGCAGTACTTAATGTTCTTTTCGTACACCTTACCCTCAGTTCTGATACCATCCAATGACGAGTGGAATGCGAAAATCGAGTTTGGAACATTCGTTTAATAATAATCGTAACTCAAGCGAGGGCTAGGCTTTCTCCAAATCGGCCGGCCGAAAAATTCGCCGAAACAAGACTTATCGAAAAATTGCTAAGCTTTTCGCTGATTTCGGAGGGTTCCTTTTGAGAATCGCCGAAAATCAACCAAATATTGTTGCAATGTGCGTTTAGGAACGAAGCCTAGGGAGTGCCCCTGGTTCGAGTCCTGGTGGTGACAGTCAATATTTTTGTCAGACTTTTCCCGTTGACGTCTTTCCCTCAAACCATTGAATATTAAAATTCTTCAATTAAAAATAGAAGAAATCACATTGTTGAGTACGAAAAGGAGTCATACTCCCCAGACACAACGGACAACGGGAATAGGTAGGTAGAACGACATTTATTGTGGACGAAGAGACCGAGACAAAGACGAACGGAAAGACTACATTATGGAAGAGAGAGAGAGAGAGAGAGAGAGAGAGATCAAGTGAGGGCGACAAGATAAAGGGCCTGGGTTGCTATGGCAAATATGGGCGCGCAAGTAGCTACACAGGCCAGCGGAATAAAAGGTGACAAAAGGAGACAAAAGGTGAGGCGAAGGGTGCATGCAAGCCAGCTTGGAAAGGTTGTAGAACGTACGGGAGAAGGTACCTAACAACATGGAAAGGAGTTCTGGAGCAACTATCCGCAACTGTAACAAAGATAAGAAGCAGTCAAAAAGTGCAATAACAGGCCACAAAACTGACATGCTACTGAGACATTCAACAACCGGAGACCTAGCTCTGAAACACCTCCAGTGCACAAACCAATAGCCTTCCAGGTTGGAAGCTTCAAGGTTATGGTAGGACCAATGAGGGCAAGGTGACTTATAATCGAATTATAATCGGGAAAAGATGGTACACAGAAACACATACACACATACTCATACACACACACACACACACAGACGCACGCACGCACACACACACACACACACACACACACACATGCACGCACCCACCCACGCACGCGCATACGCATACATACATACGCACACGTTTACACAAGCCCACTACTTCTACTACCAATTTTTTCATTACAATCAGTAGAAAGTAAGAACAAGAATGGAAGAACAAGACAACGCATTTAAATGTGATAGGACCTTGTTATTATGACAGTGACTACAAATTTCTGCAGAAGAGTGGTACCAGGAAGTAACTGCTGACCAGCCCTGAGCCTGCATTCAGCTGCGAAGAGCCTGCAGCGATAGGATGTTCGAGTGCCCCTGAAGAACATGAGGGCCCATGGCGTTGAGCAAAATGAAATCTTGCAGTGCAGGTGATTCATGACAGCGGAATAGTGCAGATCAGCATTCCTTTCCGCAACCAGACTGGCTAGCGGTTTCAGGAATACTGAACATTTTTGTGGGCATGGGTGCGTGTTTTTGTGTGTGTACCGCATATCTCCGAATAAAGGTCGAATCCCCATTTTCGGGTCTGAGCCAAGTTGTTTCAATTCATTCACATCATTAAGCAGTCACGCTCAACTGAAGTTTAGTTTAAAAATGTGTGACTTTATATTCGGTGAAATACAGTACTTTTGCACGTATGTGTGTGTGGATATATGTGTGTAGTCATGTGTGTTTGTAAGTGCATGTACATGTATGTTCTTGTACGCATAGGTGTGTGTGTGTGTGTTCTTGTGTGTGTGTGAGTGTTTGTGTGTGTGAGTGTTTGTGTGTGCTTGTATGTGTGTGTATCTGCGTGTTTGTGTGTGTGTGGGTGCGTGTGTGTGTGTGGGGGGGGGTGTCTGTTTGTGTGTGTGTGACTGTGTGTATGTGTGTGTGTGTGTGTGTGTGTGGTTGTACATGCTTGGGCATCATACACGTTTCAGGGAACACTTACTTCTTTCGAGGAGAACAAACGGAACAGGCTGAAATATAAGAACGACCAAGAACGGTATGCCTAGCCAATTACCTTTAAAAATATGAATTACAATAGCACAATACATGCTGTGTTTAATGTTACCAGTATCACTATCGATTACTGCTGATTTCTTCACATGTGGTCGACAACAACACGTCGAAGTGGCGGGACAGAAGTTCTCAGCTGCCGATGGTTGTCGAGGACATGCTGCAGTTGGGCAGAGCAATAGTCACTCATAGTTTGTTGCAATGTTGTACGGTTGAAATGAAGTGCAAAGCTCCTGGTTTTGGGTCGAAATCGATGCCGGTGACAACTCACTGAATTGAAAAAGAGTATCCTGCTGCATGTGTCCGTCTGTGGTGTCCGAAGGTTGATTATGATGGTGTGATTAATCATAGCTAGCGCCCCACTTTCTGCAGTGCCCGGGTTCTTTCCCGCAACAATTCTAAATGTTAAGCTAAACTCATCGCTGTTCTGTTGCCGACGGGGTGAACGGTTGTTCGGATACTACCATTGTGTGGTCTAACTCTCACTGTGCCCATCTGTGCCGCTGTTGATTCAGAAAACGTTTACAAGACATCAATCTGGCATTCAAGGAGCTAGATAGAAGTTTACCTAAGCACCTAACTGGCAAGAAAGTGAAAAAGGAGAAAACGAAGGTAATCAACGTGGCGTATGTTGGACCACTATGTCCTGACCACTTTGTTAAAGAGAGCTGAGAAGTGTTTCTCCCCATTTCATAAAAATTAATAATACATTTATACCAATCTGGGGATTGTCTCTCCTAGCTAGGCTTTCCCCAAATTAATCGGCCGGCCGAAAAACTCGCCGAAAACGAGACTTATCAAAAATCGCTAAGCTTTTCTCCGGTTTTGGAAGGTTCCTTTGAAAATCACCGAATATCGACCAAATGTTGTTGTTGCAAAGTGCGTGTAGGAACAAATGATTTTGCAGCAAGCATGACTGCTAGAGCTTTCTAATAGATGACTTGCACAAAGATTGTCTGGGTTCGAGACGGGGCAAGTGGACCTTCTGACTCTGACTTCCCCACCTTTTCAGGCTTTTGAGTTCGTGACTTTTGAAGTTTCGCTTTTTGCCTGACGAACACTGAGCTAGTTTTTTTGGCAAGAGAGTAGAGTTGTGTTGATTCGACTTGTATCGTCATGCCGAAGCGCTGCTGCGCTCCTGAATGAACTAGCAGCAGAGAGATGGAACTGAGGCTCCCATTCCATACGTTCCTTTCCAAGCCGGCCGGGCGGGAGGCAGGAAAATGAGGGAATATTATATTAGTATCATTGGTGTAGGCTGCGACAAGCACGTCGTGGTCCTGAAGTGTGACTACTTTCCCGCAGTGGAAGCGAAGTCAAGCACAACGAAAGTAAGTTTGTGGACGTCTGAGAAAGAACTCGATTTCCTTTCAATCGGCTGCACTAGCTCCAGAGAGACCCTCTCCTGAGGACAGACTGCGGAGAGGCCAGGAACCTGCCGAGTCACGAGTGGAAGCCTAAACCACGAAAATGAAGGGTGGAAGGACTGAGTATGAGAGCCAGATGGCTACTAGGCTTTAGTAGTACTTCAAGTAGTATCTGAGTTGAAGGAGAGAACAAGTGTGTTGGAGAAACGCTGCGAAGTCCTCAGGCCTGATGTGTACTAGCTACTGTTGAAGTCTCACTTGTTCCGATATGAACATTTCATCAGCCCTGACTCTGAGCAGCTGTATCTAGACTTGGATTTAGGCCAGAGACATAGCATTGTAAACCTTATGTATCCGATGGCTGGCTCTAGTGAGAAAGCAGTTTGTCGCAGGCTCGCAAACTATGATTGAATCAGGGAGTGGTGGAAAGTCACATTATACCTCTTCATGATTAGCTGGTAATGATGACGATGCGGCTCCGGCTGGGTCTCATGGGAAAGTAACTTGCATACATGCTTAGTTAGAGGCAACGGTACCCATGTACTGAAGACATGATTGAACTACATTTTATCTCCTGGGAGAATGTGGAACAAATAATGCCAGAGTGTGTCTGATACACATCACAGTCTGCTGAGTATGTTCATTATTGTGGACGTAACAGAACTGCGCTGTGAGGTACCTTGTGCGTTGGACCTACAGTTGAGCCACTACTCTTCTTACAAATTCCATACAACGGTGAAAGGATTTGTTGGAGCATCATCAAACAGTGCATTCGCCTTCATCATACACTGGCTCCGTTGCCTACAGTAATTCACATCTTGACGGGGCGCGCTGGGACGATACGGAAGGAGCGGCGGGAACCATTGGAGCGCTCATGATGCTGGTTAGCGGAGACGGATGTGAGTGTCAGGAACGGGAACGCAACCGCACTACTGTACAGATCAGGAAGCGATGGAAGAGTTGAATCTGTTCAGCCTTCCATGCCGTGTACAGGGACACAAGCGTAAAAATGGCTAAATTTCGAATGTGAACTGGCGATGGCATTGTGTGGCGACGAACACAACTGCAACTGTTCATATTTCAGCATTTCGAACATTATGCTTCCCATGATAACTCACCGAATGGCTCACATGACGGAGTTGGACATTACCAGGCTAGGATTATCATTTGCTGTATTTATGGATAGCCCTTGAGTTTTCAGATGAAGTGCTTTATCTTTTACCTGTCGTTCCTTTAGTGTGGCACAATGTCCATGGCTGCTTTCTTGTCTTCATAACAGACTGGTATAATCAGCATGATTCTGCTTTATTAGAGAAGAAATAAAATTTCGCTTTTTGACTCTCGTCCATCGACGTTAACCGTCGCAATAACTGCTGCATGTATGTTGTGCTGTGCGAACCGTACAGGATTTTACAGCTCGCCCACGCCTTCCCAACAGGCTCCTATATCCCGTACCGATAGCGTTACATTGAATATGAACTAGGCTAGCACAGTTATCCTTCGTTCTTTTGATGGCGGCAGGTAGCATGGAACTTGACGTGTTCTTGGGATCCTCGTGCAACACTTGCTGTTCCCGGATGCCAAATTATTGGGTGCATCGAGGTTGCTTCTATGCTCACTGTTGTTTAGTAAGACAATTTTTTTATAACTATTTCACCGAAGAATATGGCAAGAGTATTTTGGGTTGGTTTGGACGCCTGGCTTCTCTTCACATAATATACAATCATGTACTTCCACTAACCCTACAACTTACACAAGTGCACATGACTCATGAGCTGCTGAAGACAGTGCCCGTACTGATCATGTACATGTACATCATGTACATGCCGTGCACCGTTCATTCATGCTGACAAAAAAAGTACACTACAGACGGTGTAGGGTGCCCGCAGTGTAGCCTGGGTGCAAAGGGTACATAACAGGGTGCACTTGCCCCGTCTCACTCACGGCTCGGATCTTTGTGCAAGTCATCCATTCAGTGCTTGTACTTGCAGTACAGTGCGTTGAGGTCGTGTGACTTGTGTCCTGTGACCTCCTCCCAAACAACCATTAGCCATTAGGGGAAGTCCCTAAATACATGTATTAACTTAGAGACATGTAACAGGTGTTTCTTTCTTGTCCCACACACCCATTCCCAGAAACGACCCCAAAAATGCAGATAATACCACTCATAATAAACACCATACTATGCACAAATACAATTACATGAACACAGTACAGTCGACTCCACTCGTAGCGAACTCGCATAATAGCAAATTTCGTGATATAGGGAACCCTTGTTCATGTCCCTGTTTGAACCCATACGAAATTGACGGTTTTATATAAGTTTATAGCCAGCGGTTATGGGTCCCTGTCTACTCTGCCGTGACACTTGCAGTGCAATGTAGTGCTAGCGCGTCTCGAGAACAAGTGACTTGACAGAGAGTGCAGGCAACGGAATACAAACATGAGGAGCTTTCGCTGAAACAATCTCTCAATGGTGGACAATGAGAGTCTCTCTCGTAGCGGCTGAGTCGCGATCGGGTTCTGCAGTCGTAGGATTGCTCGAACCCTGGACTTCGCCGATCTTTCGAGCCGGTTAAACCAGCAGCAGACAGCGAGGGGAAGAAGGCGTTTGCGGCGGAGCACAGCTTGGCTTGTATCATGGCAACATACCATATCCGGCGGGCCGTGATGCTAAGTGCATCCCCATGTCGCCATAGACGACTTACGGCCTTCCCTGTCTGGCTGGCAAGGTGTTGGATGTGGGACCGCCAGTTCAGGTCGTTGTCGAAATTGACGCGAAGATATTTTGCGGATGACACTGTGGCAAGCTCATCTCCATTGCAGCAGACGCGATCGACTGGATCTTGATGCCGAGGCTTCAAGAACATTATTTGGGTCTTCTTGTTCAGAAGAAGACCAATGTCTCCAAGCCATTCTGCTAGCGCGGTTACTGCGTTCGAGAAGAACTGCACAACAAGTGCTACATTTGCGTGTGAAAATTCTATTACGATGTCGTCAGCAAACTCCTGATGGGCGATAGCGGCTGGTAGAATGTCGCTAATGGCTCTAGTATATAATACAAATAGGAGGGGGCCAAGGACACTCCCTTGCGGCACGCCTCGGCTGCAAGCTGTTTCGGGCGATAACTCGGCTCCGACATTTATCCGCTGATCATGTACATGTACACGTGCTGTATGGTATGCACACACTCCGAAATGTATTTTTTAGAAACGCCTTGCAGGCGAACCCACCCACCAGAAATGCCTGTTAGACATCTCGAAGTAAATACAATTATTTACAGACGGCCACTTAGGAAGATCGTTATTAGCAAAATCCCCAAACCGGCAGCCCAAAAAAGTTGCCGAAAATGAGTCTTATCAATATATCGTAAGCTTTTCGCCGATTTTGGAGGGTTCCTTTGAGAATCGCCGCAAATCTACCAAATCTTCCATTATCTCACCGATTTTCAAACAAACAGCTGAGTTTGCAGCCGATTTTCAAACAACCAGCTGGATTTGCAGCCGATTTTCGAACAACCAGCTGAATTTGCAGCCGATTTTCAAACAACCAGCTTGATTTGCAGCCGAATCTGAAGTATAATTTTGCCGAATAGGCGAATAAAACGGGCCGATACCTGCACTGCATTCTTTCTGTACGCACTCTTGTTACGGAATCACAGCCATTCCGTTCCCCGGGACGCAGGACACAAAGGACAAGACTAGTTTGTTTTTGATTATTATATTTTGACTTGACGGAAAAGCAGACTACACTGAAAGGGACGAACAAGAAGACTGACAAAAGGACTCTCGACTACAAAATCGTGCATGCTCATATCACACATGAACGCTACTAGACGAGACAGTCTGCGGAATGCCATCACACAGGAAAACAACACATCACTTCACAACACCCTCCACATACTTGACATGCTCTTGCCCTAGCGCCCTGGGTAGTACCATACAGTCTGCCAGTGCTGTATATCTCACGTGATACTTGTTTTAACTACATTGTACACATTGATGGATCCTGGAGCAAGGTCGGGGAGATCGAGAAAGAGAGAGAGAGAGAGAGCCCGAGAATGGCGGTCAGATTCATATTGTCCTGATTTTTATTATTATCCAGAACCCTTTCCTTGTATTTATTCTTATTGCATGTATTGACTATCCCTTTGCCTGATTGAACCGTGTTGGCTGGTGTGATTGACTAGTTGGCTAAAACACTACTCCTTGCACTCCAAATCGGCTGTGTGTGCGTGTGCGTGTGTGTGTGTGTGTGTGTGTGTGAGTGCATGCATGCATGCATGCGTGCGTGCGTAGGTGGGTGGGTGTGGGTGTCCCGCTGTCCACACTGATTTAGCAACTCCCACTAATACCATGTATTGCCCTCACTGAGGACAGTAATAAACCGGGCAGTTGAATCCTGGGACAGATAACCTGTCGCATTTGTCTACACCTTGTGCTCACCCGAACTTGTGTTGAGTCCATAAATGCGACTATTTCCAAGTCAGACCAGAGTATTGGAATCTTGGAATTTCAAAGGGTTTGGGGCGGCTTGATAGCCAACTAAGTCATCTTTCCAAGATTCCTTTTGTATCTCTCTCTCTCTCTCTCTTTCTCTCTTTCTCTCTTTCTCTCTATCTCTCTATCTCTTTCTCTCTCTCTCTCTCTCTCTCTCTCTCTCTCTCTCTTTTCTCTCTATCTCTCTATCTCTCTATCTCTTTCTCTCTCTCTCTCTCTCTCTCTCTCTCTCTCTCTCTCTCTCTCTCTCTCTCTCTTTCTCTCTATCTCTCTATCTCTCTCTCTCTCTCTCTCTCTCTCTCTCTCTCTCTCTCTCTCTCTCTCTCTCTCTCTCTCTCTCTCTCTCTCTCTCTCTGTCTTTCCCTCTATCTCTCTCTCTCTCTCTCTCTCTCTCTCTCTCTCTCTCTCTCTCTCTCTCTCTCTCTCTCTCTCTCTCTCTCACACACACACACACACTCACACACACACACACACCACACACACACACACACACACACACACACACACACACACACACACACACACACACACACGTGCACATGTGATACCAGTTTGGCAGTGAGCAAGTGCAAGCGTGTGGGTGCGTGTGCGTGTGCGTGCGTGTGTATGTGTGTGTGTGTGTGTGTGTGTGCGATTTCCAATCGATAGATTGCGGGTTCGATTCCCGACGATTATGGTCACACACGTCTTTCTTCTCTTTCTCAGACTCTTCCTAAGCTTTTCTTTCATTCTCCTGGGTGGTTACCAACAGCCAGTGCATGCCGGAGTATGTGGTGTGATGTGTGTGCGGGAAAAAAAAAAGAAAAAAAAGAAGAAGAAAATGAAAAAAGACCAAAAAAAGGGATTCACTGGCCAGAAAATGTCACTCCAAATAGCTGTATGGTGTAGACCAGGCTGAATAGTGACGGTCAATTCTTCAGCCTTGCAAGCTGTTGAATGGTGTAATCCCAGCACAAGTTGCTATGGCTTCTGCCGTAGCATTGCTATCATCGCCTCCGGCGATGGGCGTCAAAGGTCAGGGTGTGTGTGTGTGTGTGTGTGTGTGTGTGTGTGTGTGTGTGTGTGTGTGTGTATGTGTGTGTGTGTGTGTGTGTGTGGTGAATGTGTTTATGTATATGCATGCCCATTGAGAATATACAAGTGTACGGCAAATAAGATAAAGCCTTAGAGGGCACATTAACTTCAACGTTGCTACATTGAACTTCTTCGGCGAGGTATATCCAGGCTAATGCTTTATTCAGAATATAGAGTGAACACATAGGCTAAAATTGTCACTTTTGCTGCTCTTATTGCTGCTGCTGTTGCTGCTGCGGTTGCTGCTGCTGCTGCTGCTGCTTCTGCCTGCTGCTGCCTGCTCATGGTGCTGTTAGTCACAGCTCAAGATACTTCGGGAAGCGACTCAGGCTATTCAGGCTCTCGGAGACGAGCTTCGAAGTGAGTACACCTTTAAAACCCTTTCGCGTCCAAGCCTCAATTTTGAACCATTGACTGTGAGCACGATGGTTCAGTCAAACTTTCTAAACTCGGCCAAATCATAACCTGATCCAACGGTAGAAATATCCAGGTGGTGGAAAAACTCACAACTATCGCCTTGAACAGGTACATGTTAGTCTGGCCTATGAAAATTGAGAGAACGGCGATCGATCGAACATTGTATTTTCCTACTGTACACCGATGGTGTAGAATAAAGCAATACGGAATGAACGAAACAGCAAAGGACAAATGCTGCACCACTACAACTTGTAATAGGTGTATTTATACTGAGATCGTACACACTCACTATTCGTATTTCCCGCTCCTTCACCATAGTAATGAGAGCCACTCACGTATAGAAGAGCGCATGCTCCAGTGGTTCTCTAGTAGTTGTTGCTCTGTTATTCTTCTCACTCTTGGCTACCATGGTCTACTCTCTTGTATAAATACTTCCGTCCATATAATTATTCTACAAAACCCTTGTGTTCTGGAAGTGTGAGGGGACTTCGTTTAGCCGGGAGCTAACACTGGTGGCAGTGGTGAGATTTGATCCCACGCCTCCTGAGGGACTGGAGCTCATCTCATTGTTCTCTCTCTTTCTCTCTCTCTCACTCTCTCTCTCCAGGTGAAAACTAAGACCCGATGGCTGAGTGTTTGGAGCAGTGTAAGGAAGAGAAGGCCAAGAACCAGGGAATTAGCTCTGCCTCAGGTGGGGTTGATCAGGGAATTAGCTCTGCCTCTCGCGGGGTTGATCAGGGAAATAGCTCTGCCTCTGGCGGTACTAATCATGTCGAGGACGACCACGACAATGAAAGTTCCGGCGGTGCAAAGGGAGCGTGAATATAAATATTCAAATAAAAATGACATTAAGGTAAAATGTACGTGTGATGACAGTGTGCCTTCTGCCGCATCGTGAGTCGGTGGTCTCACCGACAGGCTGCTGTGCCTCAGACTGAGTAAGAATAACTGGGCTGCTGGCTGCAGATGTGCGGGCATGATGTGAATGTCGATGCTATGAACAAGATGAGCTCGTTGAGCTGTTGACTATCTTGCCTCAGTCTATATGTGTTTTGTCCAGTATTTTGTCTCATGTTTTGTCCTGTGTTTTGTCCCATGTTTGTGTTTTGTCCAGTGTTTTGTCCCATGTTTTGTCCTGTGTTTTGTCCCATGTTTAGTCCAGTGTTTGGTGCAGTGCGTGTGTGCTCCAGCAATGCTTGTTCTCCAAGCTGGTATATTTCTATTGCTGCTGCTGCTATCAATATTATGTGTCATGTCAATAAAAACAAAAATATATAATTATAAAAATGGACTCGGATGGACCTTCCCCTCCTTATGTTGCTTGTAGTTCCTGGGTTCTTTTTTCTTTTCTATACAAAATATAAAAACATCAGTTCCCACGGTTACTATGATTGTGACTCGTTTGTACGTTTGACTTAATTTAACTTTTAAGCAGTGTGAACCGCCAGATCACGGTATAGGGCTTCAAAGTGCTACGTCACAGCATAGCAACAATTTCAAAAATTCAAAAACCGGATCCACTTGGATCCAGTTTTTGTATAGATCCAAGCACATTTCAAGCCGTCTTACTCACAGCAAGGTGATGTATTGTATTGTATTTATTTAAAAGGATTCTCCAAAAGCAAATGGATGCTTATCACGGAAGTCTCCCACATAAATATCGCAAGAAAAATGGGGAAATGGGGAGAGGAGAGTGGAAGATGAAGCATGGGAAGAAGGGAAACAAGTACCTAAATATCGAGGTATAAAAGCAGGAAAGAAATCGACGAGGGAAGAAATCACCTCTGCAGATAATAGCGGGACATTTAGATGAAAAAAACCAGCAAGGATTAATTTCAAGGAAAAAAAATCTCAAACGGAAAAGTTCGTGTAACCAGTGAAACTGACTGATTTGGCTACTGGGGGCGAGGTTACAACTGGTGGCGAAGTAAATGTCACCCCTGCATACGACATGAGTGGGTTGCTATACACCCACATACTGAGGCAATAGCAAAGTCACACCTTAGTGGATCAAAAATAGAAATCTGATGTCAACTTACTACTCCCTGGCCGTTTTTGACGTCATCACTTTCAAGCCCTATACCTCAAGATCCTCAAACCATTCCAGGCAAATATGTTCCTGTTTGTATTATTTTTACTTTTTCACCTTTTCATGTCTCTTCTTCCCTCTCACATAACAGCCACCTTTACTTCCTTTCCCCTGGAAACTCCCTTTGATAGGCATCCATTTGCCTCTGGAGAATCCTTGAAAAATGTAATACATGCATTAAAAATATAATATAAAAATATGCACCTCTGCCTTCGCCGTAGCCATTAGCTTTAGGCCATTGACTCCTTCGAGGTGCAATTATCCGGATGCGTGCTCCCCTTGTGAACTTAATTTGTGCTCCTGCCCTCCACATCTGATCATTTTTACAACTTCTGACCTCCCATTATGTGCGCAGCTAAAGCTAGCGCAGGGGTTGGCTGACTTCTGTGGTCAGTCCCTGGTGGGAGGACATGACCCATCTCAGAGATGCAGTAGTAGTCTAGATGAAATGTCTCCTCAGGATTGCTTTCCAGCATGAAACTAGTGAGTAGAGACGTTTTAAATCACTTTTTCTTCTAACGGATGTTCGTTTGTACTAAGCTCTGTATGCCGTGTATTGATAGGCACTGTGACCCGTTGTCAAGGTTCTTCTGTAGTCTAGATGAACATAATTATTCATGAGAGGCGTTGAGGGAGAAGGACACAGAGGTATAGGAGATGGGGAAGAATACAGGGGTGGGGGGGGGGGTGGGGTGGGGTGGGGGAGAGTACGGGGGGGGGGTGGGGTGGGGGAGAGTACGGGGGCCTGGGGACGATGGAGGATGTGGAGCGTACGGGGGAGGGGAGGGGACGACGAAGAGTAGGGAGTCACAAACCGCATACATGTTCAATTGTACGTCGACACACAACTCTGCTCGCAAACAACTAGCATTGTCATAATCACACGACGCTGCATCTTACAAACTCGCTTATTCAATAATTCACTCACAAGGAGAGGGGAGAAGGAGGCTGATCATACAGCAGATTCATATGCCTGTGGCCCACACACCTGTTGCACAACCACAATACAGACTGGATATGCTACCCGTACATACAATAAAAGTTTTCTTGAGACTATCATCAGGGAAAAATTCGTCTCACAATAGAGGCTATATGGAGAAACAAACTACTTATAGGTTATCGGATAGTGGGAAGTATACAAGGTGAGGTGTAAAAAACAAAAACAAACTAAAGTGGGAGAGAAGACGAAAGAAATTAGAAGAAAAGATGTGAGAGTGTTCCGACGGTGTGAGCTACTACAAAAGGTGAGTGAAATGGAGGCGTGGAAGCAGGTGAATGTGATAGAGTGAGGAACTGTGAGGTGTAGGTGTATGCGAATGAATGCATTCACACAGGAAGTTGTGCATGTGCCAGGCCACCACTATGCCTGTGATACCTGGGTGGCAGATGCAGCTCCTAACGGCGAGGCTGAGATGGTAAGTCTCACAATGGTTGAACCAAAATGTCCGACAAGGGGGCGAACCTCGTACTATCAAAATAAGAAATAGAACCTCGTAGAATACAACGGCTTCACCTCTATCTTTTACCCGGCTTTTTTCCTATGTTGACCTCGTACTCAGTAGGGTCCGGCGGATTCTGCCGGCAGAAAAATTGCCAGAATTCGGTACTTTTTCTGGTAAGTTTCATGCATGTTTGGTATGTGGATAAAAATAATGGAGCAGAATTCGAGGAATTGCCTGCCATAAGGTTTGTAAGGTTCTGCCAATTTCACTGCTTTTCGAGCAGAATCCGCCGGTCCCTAGTACTCAGTCAATAACTCGCGACCATGCGATAACATTAGAATTATCATGTTTGTTCCTTGTATGGTAGTGATCATGCAGCTTTGTGTTGAGCTGTCCCTGTCTTTACCGACCAGTTTTATGTGGTTTTGGTTGTGTCAAGCGCTGTCTGACATAGGTGACATGCATCTATTCTTGAGTCTTGGGCATGGCACTTCATTTGATCCACCCATGATTATTATGTCCATGGAGATCTACCACCGGAACTACAAATAATAATAATTAGCCCCATCCCTCACACAAAAAAGTCAACAAAGAGGCATCTTTGGATTGAGGAGTGCTGGTTTCGAAACAACTGGTTTGAAGCTCAAAGTAGAGCTGGTGTTAGCTCAGAGCAGAGCTGCTGTTAGCTCAAAGTAGAGCTGCTGTTAGCTCAAAGTAGAGCTGCGGTTAGCTCAAAGTAGAGCTGCGGTTAGCTCAAAGTAGAGCTGCGGTTAGCTCAAAGTAGAGCTGCTGTTAGCTCAAAGTAGAGCTGCTGTTAGCTCAAAGTAGAGCTGCTGTTAGCTCAAGGTAGAGCTGCTGTTAGCTCAAAGTAGAGCTGCTGTTAGCTCAAAGTAGAGCTGCTGTTAGCTCAAAGTAGAGCTGCGGTTAGCTCAAAGTAGAGCTGCTGTTAGGTCAAAGTAGAGCTGCTGTTAGCTCAACATAGAGCTGCAATGCTAAATGGATGTAATATAGCGCAAGGCAGAGCCGCAGCAAATAGCTAGATAACACCAGTTGTGAGAGTGGACCCGATTAGTGGGTACGATAATTATGATGGTGTGAATAAGTTGGATAGGGAGGGATGGTGGGAAAAGAAACACTGCTGAAGCACGATCTGTTGTCTGGAAGAGCACAACAGGGCAAGCAAGATTTGTTTTTCTTTTCCGCAAAATGGGCTGGTGCCATTTGTGATTATGCAGCAAAACAAAGCGCATGACGTCAGTCTTGAATGCAGTACAAAGCAATGCAGTGCAGTGTGTGCGCTAGTTCGGATTGTTGCTAACAAGTACTAGCACAGCTAGTACACCATTAGCCCCATCCCTCACACAAAAAAGTCAACAAAGAGGCATCTTTGGATTGAGGAGTGCTGGTTTCGAAACAACTGGTTTGAAGCTCAAAGTAGAGCTGGTGTTAGCTCAGAGCAGAGCTGCTGTTAGCTCAAAGTAGAGCTGCTGTTAGCTCAAAGTAGAGCTGCGGTTAGCTCAAAGTAGAGCTGCGGTTAGCTCAAAGTAGAGCTGCGATTAGCTCAAAGTAGAGCTGCTGTTAGCTCAAAGTAGAGCTGCTGTTAGCTCAAAGTAGAGCTGCTGTTAGGTCAAAGTAGAGCTGCTGTTAGCTCAAGGTAGAGCTGCTGTTAGCTCAAAGTAGAGCTGCTGTTAGCTCAAAGTAGAGCTGCGGTTAGCTCAAAGTAGAGCTGCTGTTAGCTCAAAGTAGAGCTGCTGTTAGCTCAACATAGAGCTGCAATGCTAAATGGATGTAATATAGCGCAAGGCAGAGCCGCAGCAAATAGCTAGATAACACCAGTTGTGAGAGTGGACCCATGAAACCAGCACTCCGTTAGCTAAGCACTATTGACGCACAGCAAGGGTCAATTAATGTCAGCACAGGCAAGCATTGCGCAGCTAGAGTTCAGTAGCTCATTACTCACCCGAGTTGGGGATCATGTCGTCCATGGCACGGCAGCAAGCCGGGACGATAGCTGGCGCTTAGCGCTTGTTGCAGTCCGGATGTAGCATAGACATGCATCGCTCTTTCCACTGACCTGCCACTCGGAAGAAGGAGTCGGGGGCACTAGCCATAGCAGCGGTGGTGGTTGCACCAATGTGGACCGAATGCCTGGAGTAGTTCGACTGGGATGGTACACCGGCCGCAGCGACAAGAGACCATACTGTTACTGTGAATGACTGCCTGGTCAGCTGCTGCCTGTTCGAGAGTACGAACAAGAGTTGCTCTGGTCCCTCACGACGAGTGACAAACGGGTAGCTAACAATGGCACGGACCGGGTAGTACGGCGGTACAGACGGGCCAATGCCACTAGTAACGCCTTTACTGAATGGGTCCGTCTTGGATGAAAGCAGGAAGAGTTGCAGGCGTCCGTCACCAGGGGAGCTAGTACCGCCCCGTGTGATGCCATTAGTGAATTCGGCACACCGAAGAAGTCCAAAGAAGCAGCATGGCGGCTTGGTAGAGCAGCTTGTCATGGCCATTCAGGATACTACTTTTCCGGCGTGCATCCGTCAGGTGTCGTAGGATTGGCATAGTTATAGGAAGGCGAGGGGTGAGTACAGCCGTACCATGGCATCGCTGGATGCCCTTCAACACCCTCTTCAGAAGCCACGCATCTACTAAGGGGCCGGCAAACCCATTCTCAAGGTGGGCTTTATGCACCGCACTCGCATACACAGATACAGTTCAGGGCACGCTGATCATAGTTCACGCATGAATGTGTGTCCAGGAACGATGACTCGGGCAGCAAAAGTGAGC